TAAAGATGTCTTCCTGGTTTAGGTGGTGGGGTTGGGGCTGCAGAATTTCTCTGTAGATGGGGCTTAGAAGCCGTGGTCCTTCTGGAGTGAGGACCCGGGGCTTTATCTTTTTTTTTAATATATATATATATATATATATATTTTAATTGATTTTTTACAGAGAGGAAGGGGGAGAGACGGATAGAGAGTCAGAAACATCCATGGGAGAGAAACATCGATCAGCCACCTCTGGCACACCCCCTACTGGGGATGTGCCCGCAACCAGGGTACATGCCCTCGACCAGAATCGAACCCGGAACCTCTCAGTCCGCAGGCCGACGCTCTATCCACTGAGCCAAACCGATCTCGGCAGGGGCTTTATCTTTTGAGGTTAAGGAAGTACAGATTTGCTTATATTTTATGACACACACAAAGCTTTCTAAAGATGCCTTTTTAAAAAAATATATTTTGTTGATTTTTTTACAGAGAGGAAGGGAGAGAGATAGAGAGCTAGAAATGTCGATGAGAGAGAAACATTGACCAGCTGCCTCCTGCACAACCCCTACCGGGGATGTGCCTGCAACCAATGTACATGCCCCTGTCCGGAATCGAACCTGGGACCTTTCAGTCCGCAGACTGACACTCTACCACTGAGCCAAACCGGCTTCGGCTAAGATGCCTTTGTTTATAGTTCACCAAAGACAGAGAAAATGACACTTGTCTATATCCAGGAACATTTCTCCCCTCCGGTAAGTTCCATGAGCCCTAGTTGCCCTCTCTGTCCTCCTACCTCTAATGACACCATGGCTGTGGTTACCCTAGAAGATGGAAAACAGAAAATGGCTGGAGAAGAGACCAGTGTTCAGGAGAGAACCAAAGACAAATTGGACATTTAACGAACAGATTTAGAATAAAAATTCCCAAGGGATTAGAACATTTTCATTCTCTTTTTAAAGGACAGTTTAAGGGGCTGGGGATAAGAATCTGGATGGGCTCTGAGGCTGAACACAGCTGACACACAAAGAGGGAGAGCTCTTGGGATTTGAAGACTTTTCCGGGAAGGACTGATCACTTTCTTTTGATAAAACCAGGAACAGAATCATTTTCACATGGTATCCTGGACAATAATATGGGCTGAATGCTAACTACGAGGAAGTGGATCAAGTCAATACCCAAACGAAAGCATCACTAAGTCATGCTCCAGGTATAACCTCCCCACAGATATAGATTGGAGATGGAAAGATTAGATAAATACAGGGAGTTATGGGACTATTACTCATCAAGAAATTGCATTTCTGCAACCTAGTCTAGAGATTTCAAGGCAAGGCAGTGTCCAAAATATTCGAATCTTCAATCAAATAATTTAGAGAGAACCGTTACCTTTTAACACAGAAACTGGACATTGTGGGATATTTTACTATTGAGAGGCCAAAAAGGAACAATTTTTTTTTTTAACACTTTTCCCAAGCAAATCAGTCTCAATGAGTTTCCATTGTTGCAATAGAGCGCTCTCTCTCTCCCTCTCTGTCTCTCAATAGCTCTTTAGAGTTCAGAATATTTCACTATGGCGATTTTTGTGCAGATTAAAAAAAAATATTCGAGGTAGTTACCCAGTGTAAACATTGTCAAGTTACTGGAATCTTGAAACTGTAGGGAGAGGTTTAAGATTCTGTACTCTGATCCTCCATTTCTTCCTAACTAAGACCCAGCTTGCTATTCTGTGCATTTAGGTCCAAGGGCTTAGAGGAGGTCTCTGGCTGTTATCTGGGGGTGAATATTCAAATAAAGTAAAAAACAAACAAACAAGGAATTCCCATGAAAGAAAATGGATCTACGAAGATATGACTACTTGAGGAACAAAACGAAGGAATATAGGTTCAGATATCATGGGGGTCATCGGGACCTGCTAATGGGTGAAGAGCTGCATATATTTCACCAGCAGAGAAATAAGGAGTTATAATAGGATGTGTAGGACTTTCCCCCTCTGTAAGCTTTTCTTCTTTATTAAATACTTTTATTGATTTCAGAGATGAAGGAAGAGAGAAACATCAATGATGAGAGAGAACCATTGATTGGCTGCCTCCTGGTACACCACACTGGGGAATGAGTCTCGCAACCTGGGCACGTGCCCTCACTGGAAATTGAACGGAGATTTCCTGGTTCATAGGTTCATGCTTAATCACTGAGCCACGCTGGCCAGACAGCCCTCTGTAAGCTTTTTATTCACCCCATATCATGCCACCACCCATGTTTCGCTAAGTGTCCATTGTATGTTGATCAGCAGGAAGAACGTGAAGATTTTTTAAAAATATATTTATTTTATTGATATTTTACAGAGAGGAAGAGAGAGGGATAGAGAATTAGAAACATCGATGAGAGAGAATCATCAATTAGCTGCCTCTTGCACATCCCCTACCAGGGATGTGCCCACAACCAAGGTACATGCCCTTGACCGGAATCGAACCCGGGACCTTTCAATCCGCAGGCCAACACTCTGTCCACTGAGCCAAACCGGTCTTGGCAGAACGTGAAGATTTTTGCTGTCTTCAAGAAACCAATACTATTATAATTTAGACGTTAACAATTTAAATGGTGCATGAGAGAAGCAGGAGTGGGTGTGATCAGCATAAAATGGTTAAATTGTGAAACTGGGGTAGGTGGGGTATAATGCAGCAACGTGTTGGCCATACAGCGCAGAGGCCTTTGCTCTGTGCTTGTCCTCTGAAACATTCATTGAGCCTGAACTCTCAGCACAGCACCCCTGATACAGCCTTGAACTTTGGATTCCCAGGACCCACCCACCCTCTTCTGGGTCACCAGCCCCTCCAAAAAGTTAAGGAGCAAACTGGCTGCTTGGTTTCCCTTCCCAGTACTCTTCTCCAGGAGGACGCGGGTAATCTGCGCGGAAGCTGCGCGTGGGTGTAGAGGTTGAGGGCTAGACCGGGAGAGGAGGGCGCCAGGTGGGCAGGGCCTTACAAGCTGCGTGCGCACACTCCCGGCCTCCTCCTAGCATCTGAACTCACGTGCGCCCTCCTCTTCTTCTCGTGCACATACACAGGAAGTCAACCAAACATGCCCATGGGCACATCCCAGCCCGCCTGCCTTTCTCAAGTACACATACACTCCTGCGTGCTCCCAACCTGCACGTGTCCACACACCCAGTCTCCCTTCCTCCCCCAAGTGCGCACACCTACAGGTGGGAACACGGGTCCCCCTCCTCCATGTGTGCACATAAACTCCCGTGGCCAAAAAATCAAATCTTTTTCTTCCCGTGTGCACACACTTTAGCAAGTACACCCACGTGCACAGGCACACACACAGCTGGCCCCTTTCCTCTCTGTGCACTTACACATGCGCACACACAGACATCCTCCCGCTCTCATCCATGTGTGCATACTCATAGGTGCACACATCCGTGGCTCCTTTCCTACGTGTGCATCCACTCTCATCCGTTTCCCATGTGCGCACAAGTGTACACACACGCTGCCCCCTGTGCGCACAGATGCACACGCGACCTGGGCCCCCGTCCTCCATGTGCGCACAGGTGCACACATCCCCGGCCCCTGTCCTCCGTGTGCGCACACGTGCACACCCCACTGGCTCCTCACCCCCGCGCGCGCGCGCAACCCCGCATCCCGGCGCCAGTCCCTGGGTCTCCATCTCCGCCCCGCGCGCGCACACACACACACGCGCACGCGCAGCCCATCCCCCTCTCCGAGCCAAGCGCGGGCCGCACGGCGGGAGGAGGAGGAGGAGGAGGAGGAGGAGGAGGGCGCCGAAGGCGCGAAAACGCGCGCAGGCGCGCTGCGGGAGCCGGGCCGACGCCCACGTCACCGCGCCGCGCACGTCACGCCGCCCGACGCCCGCTCGGCAGGGTGAGCCCCGCGCCCGGCGCCTTGCAGGGCAGGACCCCGGGCCGGAGTGCGCGCCGGGACCGCCCGCGTGTCCGTGTCCGCGTGTCCGCGCCCGCGTGTCCGTTCCCGCGTCCTCGCGTCTGCCCCCGCGTGTCCGCGCGCTGACCGTCAGCCAGGTGCGGCGGGCAGGGGGCCGGAGCGGGCCGGGGTCCCGGGAGGGGCGCGAACACGCGGGGCGCCCACAGGTCCCCGTCCCCCTTCCCCGCCGCGTGTGCGCGCCTCTCCGGGTTCTCCCGCCTCCTGCCCCCCCAGTTCTGGGCGCCACCGTCGGGGGTTCCCAGGTACCCGGCTGTGGGGTCGGGGGGGTCCCGGGTCCCCCCCCCCCCCGGCGGGGCCTGCAGGTGGCCTGGTGGAGCAGCAGCGCCGGCGTCTGCACCCGGCGGGGGTTGGGGTCGGCCCGGGCGCACAAGGTCTGGGGGTCCGGGGCGCGTGGGGGCGGCGCTGACCCCGGCTTGGCCTGTTCGACTGCCGGTTCCGGCGCGCGCGGGAGACGCTCGCGGCGAGGCGGCCGCGGCCTAGTGACAGGCCGGAGGCCGGACCCCGGAAGCCCACCTGTCAGAGTTACCGGCCGAGCGGGCGAGGGGATCGAGCCGGCGGGACCCGGGCGCTCCCGGGGTGCGCTTTTGCGCAGGGCCAGAGGGGCTGCTTCCAGGCGTTGGCAAGGGGTCCCCCGCTGCGCCCTGGGTGCGCGGGCGCAGGCTGGGTCCCAGGCCCGACCGACCGGGTGCCGCGCCGGAGCCTTTGTGTGGGCGTCAGGGAGGACGGGGGTCTGCAGGGAGCGGGGCCGGGCATCCTGGTGTTGGCTGCATTTTCGTTCATTTAGATGACTTTTCAAAATCTCAGATGTGGTTTTTTTTTTTTTTTTTTTTTTTTTTTTCTTCTTTCCCAGCTGCCCTTGGAGGATGGAGTGTGGGTTTAGAAAGGAAAGTGCCTGTTCCTGCAGAGGCAGTCAGGATGGTTGGTGATGGCACTGGGGAAAATGTTGATATTTTATTAACTTCTTTTCTCATGCTTACACATTTCTGTTTTTTTCTTTCTTACCAGAAAAATCATCTTTCTTCTCTGGAGGGTGAACATTGATAGCATTGATTTCACGGATCTGGTAACATGGCAAAAGATGTGAGTATATTTGCTTGGCTTTACACACACAGATATTTGCCTCCTTTCTTTGTGGTTTTCCCGCTTTACTTAAGAATGACAACGCAAACTGCAGGGCTGTTTATTACCAGACTTAAAGCAAATAATACAGGATAAAAGTGAAAAAGATGAAATAACTCTTAATAGCTTTTACAGAGATGTGCGTGATTTGCTTCTACACCTGGGTTTTGCAGTCTTGGCACCAACGACAGATGTTGCGTGAGGCTGAAATGATATCATCTGACTTTTCCTTCATCTTTTCAGACTGCGTTAACTTAGAATTTTGAATGTCTTTGTTGAAGGCCACCCTGAATTCAGTGAGGGCTGGTCGTGTGCAGAATGCCCCTGTGCACCTGCTGTGCGCAGAGGGCAGGAAGTTAATTTAGCTTTTATCAACAAAGTTCTTCTGCCATTTAAAACTCACCTTGTTTTGGCCACATTTTTTCCTCAGAAAAAAATGGATTTTGGTGATGAATGAAATGTAAAAAATTTGCTTTGTGTTTGTCCTGAAACAATAGAATGTATTGAATGATTTTTTTTAAACTTCTTCCAAGAAATAGGCGTTAGGTCTAAACACATAGTCTATTTCATTGGTTAGGTAGTTTTTACTATACTTTGTAATATAGTCAGCTAAAGTCACTGAAACCCTGGTTCTATCCTTTAGTGTTTCTTAGAATGCATTGTCCTGTACACATTAGGGAGAAGAGGCTGTTTGTTTATTTACTTATTTATTGCACAGAGGTGGAAATACAGCTCAGGTACTCTACATCCACCTGAAACACAGCTAGAGGAAGTAAATGTGTCCATATCTGTGGGACCAATCATAGGCATTATGTCTTTTCATCATTTCAGAGGTTTTCATGTTCTCACCGTCTGCAGGGCGTGCTCTCACATTGGGCTCCTGTCTTCCAGCGCTGGGTTTGATTTGGCGGAGAGCGTGTATGAACACACAGTTGCATCCTGTGCGCTAATGCAGTGTTTCCCAAACTTTTGACATATGTGTACCCCTTCTATAATTTTCGTAACGCTGAGTACCCCTCGTACTCATGAGGACATAGAATTAGGTGCAGCTAAGCACGGCGCAGTGCATTTCCCCACCAAACTCCGGTGCAATGCGTACCCCCACCAAACTCTTCCCGTACCCCTGGGGGTACGCGTACCACACTTTGGGAAACACTGTGCTAATGTTTTAAGTTGAAGTCGTAATCCGTGTATCACGTTAGCTTGATTTTTATCATCTCTAATTGCATTTGTCAGCGTATTCCCCAGAGAGGCAGGCTAGGTTAGTGTGTGCCCAGGAGCAGGTTAAGGAGGCATCTTTAAGAAGGTACTGCTGGACCCCCGTGCCTCTGTAAGAGTGCGTGCAATTCTGGGCTTGTGTGTTTCAGGGAACCCATTTTTATCTGTGTTTTTTTTAAAATTAAAGACCAGAGGAGAGGGGAGACTCCTTGTCTGAGGGGCTGTCTTTGCTGCCTTGTTGGCCTCTGGGTGCAGGGAGAAAGGCTCATCAGCAGCCTTTCCTGACGTTCACTCACTGTTGGAGAAGCAGCCCTTGGGAAGTGCAGGGTGGTGGAGGGCTGCCTAATGGCTGGGCTGCAGGGTGGTTGCCTGGGAGCTGTTTGGCCATGGGCGCCGTGATGGTAATGGGGTGTGTAGTTCAGCTTGAGAAACAGCGTGGGGGAGACACAGAGGGGAAGTGGCCTTCGTGTCCCGAGAGCTGGGTGATGTCAGGAGTGGCTGCAGCCAAGTTCCACCGGGGCTGGTGGACCACGCTGGAGATGGAGATTGTGGTCAAGTAAGGGCGTTTACTTTTCTTAGGCCCTTTCTCTGGTTAACCTTACTTTTTAAACGGGCGTGGCATTTGAGTTTGGAAAGATGACTTTGGCAGCTGTGTTGCAGGGGAAAGGAGAAGTAGTTCACTTAATTAAACAGCGGTGTTGCAGCTTTTCTTACGTATAAGATCAAAGCCCAAAATCCCAGGTGAGAGCCGAGCCTTTCGGGATGAAGGGGGTGGCCTGGACCCCTGGTTTGCAGAACTCTGGGGGCTCCATGGGAGGCTGTTGGGGTCCAGGGAGACTGGAGGGGGCTGGAGTTAGGTTTTGGGGGTCACAGAGGAGGACAAACTTAGGAGACTCTTGAGGGGTCAGCCTGTCAGAACTTGGTGAGGAGGATGAGGAAACAATGGTGTGGCAGCTTCCTATGTCCAGTGGAGGTCCAGGACGACCGGCAGGCTTTAGGGATGTAGCCAGGGAAATGGCTGGGCAGGAGTGAGCCCATTGACTGGTTGGGAAGGAGTGGTGGGCATGGGCAGGACAGGAGCCAACTTTGAGGAGGAGAGGAAGTGGGCTAGGCTGGCAGGACCTGCAGAGGGACAGCAGGTCAGGGGGCAGCATGGGGGGTTGTCTGGGCACGATGACTGTTGCAGGTTAACCTGCTGAGCAGTGTCTTTGGTCTAAGGGGCCTGGTGCTAACTGGTCTTCTGGAAAGACTTGGAGCTTTTCGCCTGTCCTGTTGTAGACGCACCTCCGATGAGACTTCTACAGGAGCCTGGCGCCCTGGTTCCTGCGCGTGTCCATCCGCCTCAGTGCTGGGCGTGTGGGATAGGGTGGCAACACCCGAAGCAATGGTAACCTGCGCTCATTTGTTCACGCACCCAGTGCTGCCGTTTGTTGAGTGCTCGTGTCCAACAGCGAGCTGCTCACGAAGCTTGTCATTTGTGGGATACAGCAGAGTGTGGGATACAGGGGCCTGGTGTTGGGGGCCTCTCAGGAAACCAGTGCCATTTTCACTGAAATCAGAGGATGAGGAAGAGAGCTACGGTGGTGTGTGTGTGTGTGTGTGTGTGTGTGTGTGTGTGTGGGCGGTCGGGGAAGAGCATGGAAGTGGGGCTCCCCTATTGTACTCTGGCACCAACTGGAAACCTTATGTCTTCTGTTTCAAGAACACAAATATTTGTGTGTTCTTTAAAAAGATATTTAGACAAAACACTGTAATTTCTTTGTTTAGAAAAACCCCACATTTCCCAGAAATATAGAAAAATGAGTCTGATTCCTTGGTGATTGTGGTTAACATTTCATTTCAGAAGTGTGTCCCTTCCGCGGGAGGTGTGCTAGGATGTGTGTTTAAAATGGCAGGAATGAGTGGGCTGCCGCTAGGCGTCCTCACGGTGAATCCGTCTGTCCTGCTTCTCTGGTTTTGCTCTGGTCACACAGAGGAGGGAGATGGCGCCTGGGGAGGTGTGGCGAGAGGGTGGACGCCCAGGCTGCTCAAGGACCCGAGATGCCCACTCCTGCCAGTCTCGGTGAAGTCGGCCGCCTGGCCTGAGAAGCAAAGATGAGAGCAGGCCCTGGGATACCAGAGCCTTCACTCTTGCCTCCAGCATATGCTTACTTGAATTAAGTTGTTATTTGCTTGAAGTGGAGAATTCCGATGGTAAAGTACAGATTCACTATTCCTCCGCGGTGTGGAGGAGGAGGCAGCAGAGGAGGAAAGATGCAGAGGAGGAAACACTTTGTGGAAGTTACAAAAGCCCCAAGCGTGGTCACTCAAAATTGACCACTAGCAACAGTTTTGGGGGTAGGTCTGGCCCTGTGCAAAAGTGCACCCCAGAAATTTAATGTAAGAGAGATATTGGTTGCTATTGGTATTTGGGGCAAGAATATCCTTGCTGAGGGGACTGGCCTACACAGTGACAGTGGTCCCTTCCCCAGTCCTGAGACACCTGAGGGCCACTTCTCCTTGTATTTGCCAACATCTTGGTGGGGATTAGTGCAGCCTAGAAAAGAATACTGATTGGTCATTAAACTTCTCTGGGGTCTTCCACCATTGCCATCACAGGATCCCATGGCCGTGTGTGTGTGTGTGTGTGTGTGTGTGTGTGTTGGGACTCTCTGGCCACATGCAGGCTGTCTCTTGTTCTCACACCTGAAGCCCAGGGACCATCCTTAGATGTACATCTTGGATGTTTTTTCTCAGTTCCTGTAGAGAGAATCATGGCAGGTCAAAGGACATGGCAGCAGGCTTTCCAGTCACTGGAACTGCGTGGACCTGTGTTCCCTCAGCCATGGGCCTGTTCTCTCCGTCATGGGGTCTTGTCGCCCTGATAGGTGAAAAATGTAGTGTATTGTTTATTGATTTATGAAATTAGGTGTCTGTGAATTTTATTTTGTGCCAACCACAGTTCCCATGAGCACAGGTCATGATTGGGAAGGTTTGCCTTGTTAAGAATGCATTACAGCAGAAACCGGTTTGGCTCAGTGGATAGAGTGTCAGCCTGTGGACTGAAAGGTCCCAGGTTTGATTCCAGTCAAGGGCATGTACCTTGGTTGCGGGCGCATCCCCAGTGGGGGGTGTGCAGGAGGCAGCTGATCGATGATTCTCTCTCATCGATGTTTCTAACTCTCTCTCTCTCTCTCCCTCTCTGTAAGAAATCAATAAAAAATATATATTAAAAAAAAAGAATGCAATTACATTTTCAACACTGAGGAAAGCTTCTAAGGTAATAGTAAATGTAAAAGGAAATATACATGTTATAATTGTTAGATCTTCGTATTAAAGGCTGCAGTTGTGTGAAGTAGAAAGTGGAAGGCATCTGACATGACTGTTCCTGTGTTGCCTGGGCTGCCCCCCTTCCCCACCATCTTTTTCCAATCGGTAGGTCCCCATGAGCAGTTTGATGCTGTCAGTATTTGGAAAACTAGTTACAAGATAAAGGACCTGCATAGCAGCCATAGTTCTTTTAGAACTGGAGCTGGAAGGGGCAGTGGGTGAGGGAGTGTGGTTCAAGTACTTTCTCAAGGTCACAGGCAGAGCCTGTGTCCCCAGCTTCCAGTTTCAGAAGTTCCTCATGGCCCCGGGAAGGAGGAGGAGAAGGAACAGTGTCACCTCCATCCCCACTGGAAAGATTGCATTCGCATCTTTGTCCAGTATCACGAAGGTTTGTAAAGAGCAGAGAGCTAGGTAGTTGATTTTTTTTAAATTAT